CCCTTTTCAGGGCAATTACGCTTTATGTGTCCCATCTTGCCGCATCTAAAGCATGCACCTGAGACTCTCCCTTTCTTCTGGGTTAATTGCACCACAGCAGCAGCTAATCCAGCATTAGTTAGTGGTCTGCCCAGCTCTCTGCAAACTTTCATCCATGCTTCTAGTCCCTTATTCTTATATGGGGTTATGGCGGCTCCTTAGTGCATTGCTCGTAAACAAGCTGTTTAATTAATGGCATGGCTGCATCTGGGTCACCAAAAATTCTGCCAGTGGCCTCGACCATACGGGCAACAAAGTCCGAAAACGGCTCCGTAGAGCCCTGCAGGATTTTGGTGACATTGCCACTCACCTCGCCTTTATTTGGTAAGGCCTTCCATGCCTTTATGCCAATTTTATTGATTTGTTCATAAACTTGAACCGGGTAGGCTATCTGCTGATTGGTGAATCTCCCCTGTCCAAGCAGCATATCTCTGTCCCAAGCTGGGTTTCCCGCAGCCTGATTGGCCTCAGCCTCTTCACTAGCAAATTCAATCAAAAAGGCCTTCCAATCTAAATACTGACCTGGGCTCAAACAAGCTCGTGCAAGCCCACTCCAATCATTGGGCGTCATGCAGTGTCTGTTTAGGGCCTCCACCTGGGCTACAGTAAAGGAGGCTGTGATTCTGTATGTCCGCACAGACTCAGCTAAAGATTTTATCACCTTAAAATCTAAGGGTTCATGATACCGCTGTCCCTGTGGATCCTGAAATATTGAACAGGCTGGATGTAACTCGGTTCTGACCGCTTTCCACACGTCTGGGCTGAAAGAACAGCCGGAGCTGCCACTTCCGGGGTCCTCCGCATAGGGCGGAGGGGCCGAGGGTGCAGCATGGCACCCGGAGGGAGTGCATTCGTCTTTATCTGGGTCCTCTCTCTCCTTCCCTTTCCTCCTCTTTCTTATCTTTGTTTTTTCTATTTGTTCTATGAGTGATTGTAGTTCTGAGACTCAGAGGTCTCTAGTTCTAGATCGGGGTATAACCCCCCCCTCTTCCCCTTTTCCCTGCCTGCCCTTTCCGATCTTTCTTCCTGCAGCATTTCTAGGGCGGCCTGACCATTCTCTACCGCCTCATTGCAGCGCTGGTCCTCAAGACAGCCTCTTATCAGTTTCCATATTGGTCTCACTCCGCTCTTAAGCGTTCCTTGTTCAGAGGCAAAATCTAGGTCCCTCCCTAGTTTCTCCCAAGAGGCCACCGTGAGGCTTCCGGAGACAGAGAACCACGGGGCAACGATATCACATTCATCCAAAAATCTCTCTAAAGTACTCTTTTTTATTTTTAACTTCTTTGAGTGCAGTAGCTCATTGAGAGCCAAAAAAATTGGGTGCGAAGAAGAAGCACCCATGTCTTAAAACTTTAAAATTGGTAAACAATCCTTTACTTTTACTTTTGGCTACTCTGTTGACTAGCCCCAGGTTCCCGCTCTCTCTTCATCTACAGAGAAGAGCAAAAATCCCTCCGCTCTTGTCGCAGATTCCCCCTTTACCTGGGAACTTACCGGTGCACCACCCTGACCGCAGAGAGTTCTGAGTCCTCGTTGAGGTTATGGCTAATTCCCTGTACGGGCCACCACCTGTCACGACCACCTCGACCAGCAAGGAAGACACAACACCGAGCTCTTCTCTCCGCAGTTTATTCAGGACCCTTGAGCAATCTTCTGACTGACCCCGGGGAGAATCCCACACAGCCTTAAGTACCCGCTGGGTAGCCAACCCTGATACGCCACGTGGGAACCACCAATAGGTCCAGGTACGCGGAAGCAAGCCAGATTCTATGCCTTAGCCATATAAGGAGTTGTTTACCACAGAGAGCGCTCGCCATTGGGAAGGCGGAGGGCGGAAGCCAGCGCCATCTTTAAGGTGCGGCTGCACGCAGCTCTCTACACCACAGTGCAACTTCCGGTTTCCTAAGTGGTTTATTAGAGATAAGAGTCTCACAGACTTTCCTGCCTGGGCTGCTTTGAACCATGATCCTCAGGTCTCAGCCTCCTGAGTAGCTAGGAGTATAGGCGTGAGCCATGGGGTACCTGGCTTTCAAGGCTCATTTTATTCTTTATCTTATCTCTGTTCAGATAGGTAATCAATAGATGCCTTCAACTCCACTGCTTGTTTTTTAAACTATTTTCTCCATTGCATTGCTATTCCCAGTCAGCCAGTTTTTAATTTTTGTTGTTTTGTTCAGTTCCAAAATTTCCTTTAGGTTCTTCTTTACACCTTCTGTTTCAGTGCTATAACTTTCTATGTCTTTGCTGCCTTTTGTTTCAGTCAGGTTTACAATTCTTATTTTCTTTTTATGACTGCTGCTTTAAATTTCTTGTCAGATAATTTGAACATCTGTGTCATCTGGTATTGGCATGTTGATTGATTCTTCTCATTCAAGTTGAAGTCATCTGATTCCTTGATGAAGTGTGTGTGTGTGTGTGTGTGTGTCTTATTTTTACCTTGTACATTTTGGATAGTGTGTCCAGAGAATCCAGATCATATCTAAACATTATCTTATTCTCTGTTACAATGCTAATGGGAGAAGGAAGCACTGACTTGTTATTGCCAGGTTGTCTTTGGGGCCTATGAAGATGCTTGGATAAAAAGGAGGGAAGTGATATTTCACTAATACTGGGTGGGAAGTTTGGAGTGCCTGCAGAGACCTTCAGTGGTGTCACCCTGGAAAAGATAGGAGTGCCTCATTACTGCTTCTGTATTACCTCCACTTGTACTGTATAGAGAAAAGTCAGTGAAAGTCCTAGCTCTTCACAGACCTCCCATACCCTCTAGGGGAAGGAAGGGAGAGATGTTTCTCCTTACTACCAGACAGGCAGGACAGTGGTAGTTTAAGCATCACCAGAGGCTTTTGAAGATAGCAGGGGAATGTTCTTAATATTGGGTAGTGTGGGAGTGGTGGCTCAGACCTGCACTCTTAGCTACTAAGGAGGCTGAAATCTCAGGAAGTTCAGGGCCAGCCAGAGAAGGAAAGTCTATGAAACCCTTAATTCCAATAAGCTACCAAAAATATCAGAAGAGGAACTGTAGTTCAAGTGTTAGAGGGCTAGCCTTGAACACAAAAGCTCAGGAATAGCACCCAAGTCCTGAGTTTTAGCCCTAGGACCAGCACACACACACACACAAATAAAATTGGATAGTGATTCCTGGCTCTTCATAACACCTCTGACTCTATCCCAGCAGAAAGGAGAAAGAGGAGAACTTTGATATAGACAGAAGAAGGTAAAAGCTTGGCTGACAGATTTGGAAAGGAAGTGACGGTAGGGTCATGGTTTGATTCGTAGTGTTTGATTGTGGCAGGAAAGTCATTGTCTAAACATCGTCTGTCTTACAAGACTGTCCCTTCCCTGCATTGCACTAGATGAAGCAAGATCCTTTAGGGATTTGTTGGCATGCTCATTAGCATTTGGGACTGCAGTTTCTCCAGCACTCCCTGAGCAGTATATGAGGTAAAAAGGAAACCCAAGCAGCGGCCGCCACATGGTGTTGGAGGTGTGATGCACCTGGCGTGCGTTCTTCTTTCCATGTCTCAATGTCCTTTCATGTTTATTTCATAATAGTGTCTAAGGTTTTAAACTGTAGTTAGTGGAAGTGATGGGAAAAAGTAACTGGTCCATGCTGAGATGTGTTATTTTTTTATATCTTTAAGTGTATCTGAAGTATTTTGTAATAATTTTGAAAAAAAGATGTTTGTGAAAAGTATATTATTTTTGATCATTCTTGGGCATAGGGATCTACACCTCCCCCATCTGTGAGCATGTGTTCATCTCCCATCAATCCCAAAGTGGCCTTTGGCAAGTGATTGGATCCTGAGAGCTGTGACCTAACGAATTAATCCATTGAGAGGCGATAGAGACTTAGAGAGTAGGACCTAGAAGGATTATCTTGCCCATGTTTCCTTCCCTTCTTTGCTGACTGGCTTCCTCCATCACAGTCTCCTGACACTGTGACATTCCGCCTAGCTTCAGTCCTAAAGCAAAGGATCGACCTGACCATGGACTACCTCTTAAACTATGAGCCACAATGAATCATTCCTACTTTATTTTCCTTGGGTTATTTTGTCACAGCAGCAGAAAGCTGACTGACACAAACTTCAGCTCCTGTTTGAGAACAAGAGTGGAAGCAATGAGCCAGTAACAAATCCTGTTACATCCAAATTTCAGTTATGAAGAAGATGATTATTAAGGGGGAGTTAATATTTTAAAACAGAAAGTCTTTAGAGGATTCTGTTAATTAAAATATTTAACAATTGCTACAGCACTGTGTGGAGGGTCTTGTTCTCACTAGTCACAAATGCCTACAGAAAAGACGCTTCATCAACTCCAAGGGATTGGTTATAAAGTTTGAACAACCACGACAGACGTATTATCTGAATGTTTTATCTATAAATTATCAATGAGTTTTCTTTCTACAAATGGCAGGGAGTGAAATTGCAAAGATGATTAAAGTTGCTTAAAAGTATTTCTAATGACAAGCAATACATAGCTGGAAAGGATAAATAAAAGACCTATCTGATACTCTTCATTCTTTCTTATTATTAACCAAGTCAAGAACTTCCTGAAATTACATGAATTAATTCCCTTTGAGAGATGTAGTTGAGGAGATGGTGGTGAACCCAAGCTCAATGGGACTCTGCAAACCTTTCATAATTAGACAAAAATAATTCAGCCGTCTATATATATATATATGTATGTATGTATGTATGTATACTAACATATAAATGGGCACGTTGAGATTTTACATGAATAGTTCTAGTTGGATATGTACAAATATTTCTGTATCTATAGCAAAGCAGAAATTGCTATCTGATGTTTCAAAGGAGGAAGCAGCTGGAGACAGCATGTGTAGCTATGGGCAAAATTAAATGACATTTTTCAAAGTCAAGAATAATGCCTACTTAAAAACAAGAAGAAAAACGAAATAAAATAAGGACACTATACACAAAATCATACTAGAAATTAATTGAGAGAATTGAGGCAGCTAAACATTCTTTTGAAACTAGTTGGCTGAGTGAGAACCTGCTGAGTTCCATCGCCAGGGAAGACAGAGGGACTGGACATTGCAGAGCACATTTTCCATGTTCAAAGTCAGATGTCAAGTGCTGGTCTATTTGCGACCCTTTGGGATTGGAGGGAGGGTGGGCTTGGTGTTGGAACCGGGGCGACTTATGACTGAAATTGAGTGTTTTTTGTGTTGGGCAGATGATTTTTCTCCTGCAGACTGTAGTGCTGTAAAACATTAAGAAACATATAGTACACGTAGTTTAGATATAGTACACATAGTAAAGACACGATACACATTGTTAATCCTTCTTATGCCACACAAAGGAAGTGCCAAGGGGAATAAGCATCAGATTAAGCTTGGGAATGTATTCATGACCACCTCTAAGGAATAAATGACATCCAAGCAAGAAAAACGAGATGAGATCACAGGCTGGACAAATGTAGATTTGATCTGAAAGTTTTTCCAGTGAATCACAGCCTCTACACTTCTATCATGCTCACACCTCTGAGGCAAGGCCCCATGTAACTCTCTATCATAGTTATTATACATGCACCCAGGGGAATGCAGGCAAAGCTGCATTCAAAATGGAGGGGAACTCTGTGTCGCTTTATTCACCTTGGTCCCACTGCCTGCCGCAGAGCACCACAGTGTGATTTGGGGGACGTGCACCCAGGTGCCTCGTTCCCTTCTAGGAATTAGAAGAGTAGTGGCCTAATTTTCAACAAAAGACTTGGGATGGCCCCTTCCTGTTCCCTCTCGCTGCTTCCTGTAACACTGTGAATGGAGTGGCTTTACTCCCCGCCATGGCGTCCCCTGGCACTCTCCACCGGCCTCTCCCAGGGCCCTAAAGCAATACAGTCCAATGATGATGGTCTGAAACCATATGCCAGTATGCATATTTCCTCCTTTAAGTTGTTTATAACAGGCACTTTTTAAAAAAAAAGAGATGAAAAAATAACTAACAGATAAGAAGATGTGGACATTGACGGTTCATTCAAAGCAATAAAATAAATGGATGGAGACTGTTTCTGACAAAAAAGTTCTACAATCTTAATCTGCATGGAGAAAAGTGTACAGTCACATAGTTAGCATGCATCTAGTACTTCTTACTTAGATCATATTTCATTTTGTGTGTTTATATTATGTATTACACTATAAAATAATTGCTATACAAATATATAGTGAAATAATAGTGTGTGTTATGAGGCTGATACTATCATTCCCAAGGTTCAAATGTTAAATTATTTGCCCAACATTATGTAACCAGATGTTTCTGTAAATAGAAACTCAAGGCCACATCTTGTGAGTCCTAAAGTTCCCTCACACTATACCACACCACAGCTAACAGTCCGCTTTGCTCTGGCCAGACTCTAGAATGTTTCTTTAAGAAACTCTCATTTAATGAGAGAAAAATAAGAAATGGAGGAGGTCTGGAAACACTGCCCTATGGGAAGCCAGAATGATAGTGAGCCTTTGTGCTTTGTGTTTCAGAGCTCCTGGAACATACAATAGATATTATTAGAATAATATCTATTATATGTTATGCATAATGTTATTAATATTATATGTTATATAATATATAATATTATATACTATATTAATAATATAACATTACATATTATATATTATAATGAAACGTATCTTTTATAGCTTATATAGACATATAATCCATATGTAGAACAAAGCATACCTTCTCTGTCTTGATCTGCCTCATGATCACTTCCTTCTGGTTCTGGCCATGAAACAATAGTTCCCTCTGGAAACTGCAAAGAAAAGTCTCTTGGCCATGGATAGGAGTAAAGCAATGTAGAATATTTCATGCTAACATGGGGATCCTTGTTTCTAAAAAAAAAAGAAAGAAAGAAAAATGGAATATGAAAAATCTTTTTGAGATGCGAACTTACTAAGAGCCTTATGCGTGACTGCACTGGGTTACCTGTGTGGTGTTAGGTCATCAGCGTACAAACATGTCTGTGTTGGCTGGTTTTAAGTGGTGTCTATAGCAGGTTCCATGTAGCAGGTGACCTGGCAGACTGTACATCAAGCACTGTACATGCTCTTAGAGACTCCTCATCCAGTATACAAAGCCCAGCTTAATACCCGCTTAGCGGAAAAGGTCAGATAATGTGATGTCAGGAAAATGAACCCTTAGATATGTATTTTAATGCCTTTTCTTTCATGCATGTGTTTC